TAAGGAGCCTACAGACCAGAGCGGCGTAGCGGTGAGCGGCGAGCGGTAGCCCAATAAAAGCCATGCTTCACTAATGATGTCACGTAAAAGCGTGGCTCTCATTGGGCTACCGCTCGTCGCTCACCGCTGCGCCGCTCTGGTCTGTAAGCTCCTTTACAAATTCCGAGTACGATGTATTTCGATTCTAATTTTCCTCTCGTTCGCGCTGAGTGAGTAAGATTCCGTATTGGTGCTGCCATTGTGAGAGCATCAAGTCACGTGCACCAATCACGCGAAATCCCGAATGTCCAGACTCTCTACTTCTAGGGACTCTAGGCGATTTCGACGGTAATGCGGGGTCTACAATAGAAGTCATAGCAGTCGTAGGGTCTCAAGTCATAGAAAATTGACCAATCACAGTCGAATATGAGAAGAATAATCAACTGTGATTGGTCACTTTTCTACGACTTAGGACCTTACGACCGCTACGACTTCTATTGTAGACCCCACATCACGGGAAAAAGGCCGGCATGATCTCTCTCAGGTTTCTCTCTGACTGTGGTATATGGTCTATCTCGGTGAATCTTCGGTGTAGTTCGGTAAGACGGCTTATGAAATTCGTGTTTCTATTGGCAATGGTAATGTGACATATATAATTCGCGGATCAGAAATTCACGCAGGGGTATAAACAATTCGTGTTTCTTGCGATATTTAATTATTGCTGTGATTTACGCTACAATTACAAACTACGATGCCGCGAGGTAAGTATCCTTTTACAAGTACTTCTTTCTGGTTCCTGTCTTCTTAATTTATCTTAGGCTAATTCAACAATATGCTCTTTGTTTCCTGTTTCTTGCCGTTTGTCTCTTGCCTTCTTGATCAAACAGGCAAGAGACAAACAGCAAGAAACAGCAAACAAAGAGCACATTGTAGAATCAGGCTTACGTTCCGCGTTCCTTCGAGGAAAACGGTTTCTGTATTCCTCGTTACTGATCGCTTTTTGTCGCGCAGGAAAATTCGTAAATCACAAAGGCAGGAACAGGCACTTCACAAATCCAGAAGAATTGGAGGAGCAGCGGCGCCAGGAAGAAAAAAAGCAACAGTGGAGAGTTAGTATTTTTAGGTTAATCGACACGAGTAGTGAGGTGTACCTTCCAACAAGCGACACAAATGACACGGTGTGACACAATGGATCATTACATTTTTGTTGTTTGCCAATGTTAAACAAAGATGACATGATTACTGTGTCGCACTGTGTCGCTTGTTGGAAGACATACCTTCTCAAGGCCAAGCGAGGCTATTTAGTTTAGAGATATTGATCTTTTTTTTTTACACCGAACACTTGATGTATTAACTAATAACTTTCTATTACATTGTCTTAATTTCAGCAATGTATTTATAGGATGTTGTAAATCATCCTAAATTGATACAATATGCTTCAAAATGATTAATTAGATACATATGTTAAGTGACACTTGTCGCCAAAATTAAGATAATTCAATAGAAAGTTACTAGCTATATCTGTATATGTAGTATCCATACCGAGTGCACGATGGAAACTAGGTCATCTTTTCGGACTATGTGAATCCTTGGCTTTTGAAATTGCAGCCTTTCTAGTAAGTGATTTTTAAAAATTGAAAAGGTCAGACTATATACTAGAAAGCCTCAGAGGAAGAGAGTGGCAAACTGGTCATGTGCGAATAGAGTTTCAGTGACCACATCCAATCAGGATGGAGGGTACGTGACCAATTTTTTTCAATCTCTTCCATGCCTATGGAGTTTTGATGACCGCGTCCAATCAGAGGAGGAGCAGTTTGCCACTCTTCCTCTGAGGCTCTCTAGATTATATTGATCGTGTAGCTTTTTTCCTGGGGGCAAAAACGTAAAAAGTTAAACATTTTTCAATCAACTTCAATGACAGAAATTTGTACTTTTCATGTTTATGCCCCAAGAAAAAAGTTACACGATCGGCATACGCTGGCTTTTTCAATTTTTGCTATTTTGTTTTCATATATGTCGATGAGTGCCATTTACAGAGAAGATTCACGTTTTTGTATTGTATGTTTGTATATCTTGAAATGAGATCAAAATTATAAAAATTAGCAAATTCGATAAATGTTGACCAATGAAATTATAAATATCCCAGCAAATTCGCTTTCTTTTGTAATTTCTCGTTTCAAGATATATAATCAATTTCTTAGAGAAAAAAAATTACTTTATTGATACTTAGACATTTGATGTGTTCTATAAAGTTAGATTATGTATAATATTACAATATAGGCTGTGTTTCAGTCCTGAAATATATAGTTCACAAATAAGGGAAAGAATCCTAATTCAAAAAGCTGATTTTCAGGTTTGAGAATAGCATGTAAATTATATTTTTCATTTTTATAAATCGTATCGATTCGATTTGTCGGACTTGGTCGGACTTGACACCCAATCAACAAAACATATAATACGTTACATGGATACTCTTAATCAGGTTTAATAACATCCATAGTTATAAACTGGCTATTCACAGTCATTTTAGTCTTCTTCAGAGGAATAACTATGATTGGTCAGTTTCATATGGATGTTTTTAAGCCCAAGGATGTCTGTGTAAATGTAATCATAAACTGAAGCTAGAAGAGAAAGAAATAATATCAGCAGGGTTGGGTAAATTAACTTTTTTTTTAACTAAGTAAAGTTAACAGCCTTGAAAATTTAACTTAATTAAAATACAAGTTAATCCATAACGAAATTAATTGAATTAAAAGTTAAGTTAATAAAAAAAAGTAATTGAAAAGTTAAAAGTTAAATTTAGTTCGAACGAACAACCAAAAAAAAATATAAGGATTATTATAAGTAATTACTAATATGGAAAAGCTCCCAGAACATTTATTATAGAATTGTTCAAATAGATTCTAATTGTAATTATTCCATTGTTCCTAGGAAATACAATAGAAATCTAGAAAATAATTGAATAATTCCAATCAGAATTATTCCGATTTATTCCATGACAATTCCCTATACTTGACAGATATCCCTGTCTGATTTTAATGAAAATCGATGGATTTGTAGGAGTAAAAATATTCGATATGTATTTTTTTTATTAGCAGTCAAACATGTTCAACGGGCGAAATCCTCGGTTTTACGTACTAAATATATCTTTCTAAATTGGCCAAAATATATATCTCTATTTTCTAATTACTGAAAATTGTCGCACAAACATTATTGCTTTCAAATCCGAACACTTTGAAGCCCGGCTTTCCGACGAGCCGTCTGACGTCCTACTCACTACGACAGAAAACACTTTCGTTACATAGCTCTCGGAATCAGTCTTTCAGCTATAACTTCTGACAAGGGAATGTTCCAAATTGCAAAAGTGATATAAGAAAAACTAACGTCAAAAGAACAAATTTAAAATAGGTATTCTAAGAGGTCCAATCTTGGAATCCTATGGATTCTGTATCCCACTTCAGTAGAAACACGTTTGACCATTTTAACTTATAGACACAAAATATCTCGAGAACAGTGCATTTATCAAAAAAATGTTTATTATAATAAAGCCCACAGGTTGAGTTTTTCTTATTCTCAAAATGTCAAAATAAGTAGCTCACCTGATGGCCCTCTTTAAATTCTATTAGAAACATTTTTTTCAAAAATGCCTTGTTCTCGAGATATTGTATTTAAATAGGTAAATATGCCGATCAAGAGAGACTGCTCCGATGACCTTGACACGTTGTCATGACCCTGAATGACTCTGAATGACCTCCAAGAAGTTTCAGCCGTCGCTCGTCATCCGTTAAAAAGTTATTAATAAAAAAAGTTTAAGAAATAACATCTTATTTCTGCTTTATACAATATTAAAAACTACTCGGCACTCAACCTGTCTAGGAGCGTCAGACTTTCCATGCGAAACAAGGTCCACCACTCCCTTGCCTCGTACGCCTCTAGGCAGAGGGAAAGGTGGGACGCAACTCCCTTCGCGTGGAAATTGTGTGTCCCTAGGCAGGGAAGAGAGGTGGAACTTGCTTCGCGTAGAAAATTCAACGTCTCTCAGTAGAGAGGATGTGGAGTAGTTTTTAATATTACATATAGCAGAAATAAAACGTTATTTCCTATTTTTTAAACTTTTTTGTTAATAACTTTTTAACGAATAAAATAATAACGAGCGACAGCTAAAATCTCTTGGAGGTCACTCAGGATCATAACCTTGACAATATGTATCAAGATCAAAATCATCGGAGTGGTCTCCTCCGATCGGCATATTAGCCAGAATAATACCTATTTCAAACATGATCTTTTGACTGGTAACGTTAATATTTTTTTACATCATTTTTTCAATTTGAAAAGTTCTCTTGTGAGCAAAGTGTGATAGTGTAATTTCGTAAATATACAAAATATATAGAATTTCGATATCTATCCACTGATATAAAAATTAACCAGCATTCATCTATATTACTTGGCATTCTCGAATTCGCACGTAAGCGGGAGATTCTGGCGAATGTCGCATCATGACATGGCTCCAGGGAGAGATTTACGTTCTGGGGATCATTCCCGCAATTCGGCGTATGTAATCTTGAAATATATACATATACATTTTATACATTTACGAAATTACGCTGTCATGCTTCGTTCGAAACTTACAGCCAAAAAATGTAAATTTGGTCAATTTTCGAGGACTAATTTCTCCTTGAATATGTTTAGTTGCTGATAAAAAAAATATGCATCGAGTGTTTTTTATCTCCTGTATAAACCCACGAAATTAAAATCGGAGAAAAAAACCTGGGAGTATTTCCTTGTAAGTGAATTTAAAATTTTATTTCTAGGTAAGAATAAATTATTGTTTTTTACATTATATTCTACTGAAAACTAAGTTAATTTTCCTTTACTTTACAGAAAAATAAAGGGCAGGAGAGTTCAAGTGAGGAAGAGGATGATGATGAGGAGACCAAAACGAGTGGAGCCAATAGGTCAAAAAGTAGTACCACAGATAGCAACAGTGAGTCAGAATCAGAATCGGAAACAGAGGTATCTATACATGTGTGTATGTGTGCAAGATTAAAAAAGATCTTTTGTGCACAGTTACATAAGTAAAGTGTTGTGTTCTAATTTATTTCATTAATTATTCTGTTCTTGTAGGGAGGAAAAGCAAAAGGTGTAGAGAATTTAATTCAAGTAGAAAATCCAAACAGAGTACAAAAGAAAACAAAAAAATTATCCCAACTGAATCAATCGTTAGACACTGCAAAACCAGAACTATCTCGAAGAGAGCGGTATGTGAGCGATTGCTTTGATTATAATCAATGTTTTGATGATGTCTTTTGAAAATATATCCTTGCGATCAAATCTTGTTGTGTGTGTATCACTTACCTCATTCTCATCAATATTGAAAATTGATTCATGTGATTCTAATTTTCAGGGAACAATTGGAAAAACAAAGAGCCTATGCGAATTATCAAAAATTACATGCGGCCGGTAAAACGGATGAAGCTCGAGCGGACCTAGCACGATTGGCTATAATTAAGCAACAACGAGAAGAGGCGGCAAAACGACGAGAGGAAGAGAAAAAGCAAAAAGAAATGGCGCAACAAAAGAAGACAGAGCTAACACAGAAGGCGCTCGGAAAAAAGTCTTAGAATATGATGACTAATTGCCACAAACTTCTATAACTAGATTACTGACTTCGATTATTTTGTATGTGAAGTCTGATTTCTGTGGCTGAACTAGTGTACACTTTTGGAACTTAAAGTGAGATAGGTATACGTTTGATACTTGTCAAAAGCAAGAAAGAGAGTTCTAGTGCGCTTTAGTGCAGGAACAGAAAACAGACTAATAATAGAAAAAAAACAAAAGTAATACTCTGAGAATCTGTCACTTATGCTTATGTATGTATAAGGTTGGAGCACAGACCTTTGGGTAACGCAATAATACATAAAGCATAAGAGAATTAACCAATCAGAGTTCTTCATTTCATGAAAGGAAAGATTGAATGGCTAATTCTCTTATACAGGGTGAGTCATTTTAATCTATAGACCCGAATATACCAAATTCCAAATTACGGTATCTACAAAAAAATGGTTTAGATAAAAGTTGACCAGGACAGAGGGGGTCATTTAATTGTACCATTAGTTTTGACCTTGAGGTCAATTTTGAAGGTCATTTCAAGGTCACAATGATTTTTTTAAATGGGACACCCTATTTTTGACTGCGGATTTCGAAAGAGCGGAAAATTTTACATCAAACTTGTCTTATGAAAAAATTGTTTTTGCGACCTTGGAAAGGTCAAATGCCTGAAAAACGATCTGGTGTACTTTTTCTGAAATGACGTGGTTTTCTGGGTAACACAAATGTGAATAATGCTTGAAACAAGTCAATGAATTGTAAAAGTGTAAATCACTTTGACTAGCTTGACCTTGAGGTCAATTTTCAAGGTTGTTTGAGGCTCATAACGCATTTTTTGATTAGTAAACCCTATTTTTGACCGCAGAACCTGTTTTTTGACAATGGGCTCTTAAACAATGGCACTTTTTACATGAGCATAGGGATTTTTTAGTAACACATTTGTGTTACCCAGAAAACCACGTCATTTCAGAAAAAGTACACCAGATCGTTTTTCAGGCATTTGACCTTCATTTTTGACCTTTCCAAGGTCGCAAAAACAATTTTTTCATAAGACAAGTTTGATGTAAAATTTTCCGCTCTTTCGAAATCCGCAGTCAAAAATAAGGTGTCCCATTTAAAAAAACCATCGTGACCTTGAAATGACCTTCAAAATTGACCTCAAGGTCAAAACTAATGGTACAATTAAATGACCCCCTCTGTCCTGGTCAACTTTTATCTAAACCATTTTTTTGTAGATACCGCAATTTGGAAGATATTCGGGTCCATAGATTAAAATGACTCACCCTGTATATTATGCATTAAGATGCATTTTCAGGAGCTGCTCAAACCAGCCGTTTCAGTGATAAAAAAGATTACGTGATGACTTTTGTATCAGAACTATTAAAGCGACAACTTTATAGGCCTATTCTTTTTGTCTGAACTTTTGCATCAGTTCATCTTTCTTTCTCTTCTTTCTTCCTAGAGAGAAAAGGAAGAAAGATGAAGTGGTGCAAAAGTTCAGCTAAAAAGAACAAGCCTTATATTAGGAATGTGATTTAGTTTTGAAGGTTTTTTCTCAAAAATTTATTTATTTATAAACAACATCACGTAAACGTTTAAGAACTGTTGTACGATCAACATTTAATTCTCTGGCTTTAAGTTCTGAAGTAGATAGTAGATTTTCGTCCAATAATGCTTGCAAATCTGCATTTTCCAGCTTTTGTCATTAATATTGAAATCACCACTTTGACTCGACAGAACCAGTATTCACATATCTTAATTGATGGAACATCACCATAAGTTTCTATCAGAATTTTATGACCTTTAGCCGCCGTTTTCTTTTGATTAAAAAACAAAAGCAACACGTGTCGGAAATGCTTTTTAGGAAGCTTCATTTTTAAAATAGTATAAACACGACGCGTTTATTGCGTCTATTGTTTAGTAAACGACTAAATATCATGTAGTAATATTAAAGTAATAAGAAATAATAGCTGTGATCGAAATGTCTTCAATAACACTGACATTAGTGCCATCTCGTGCAAAACCCTCAAAACTAAATCATGCTGCTAATAGATCAAGGCTGTATTCGAGGCGACGCTATTTGTGTCATTTTATCTTCATCGTCCATTAGACGTAAGATAAGGATAGTATTACACAAATGGCACTGACAGCACGCTCCTCGAATACATCCGAAAAAGGGGCAAGAAGCGTTGAATTTGACAGTTGCTCAATTGATTTGATGCGTTGTTTGTTTTTCACGTGTCGCCGGTGTCGCTTGCAATATTAACGCGCTTAAACAATTATTAGCAGTTATTAGGTTATTCTGGATCGGATTTAATCGTTTATTCTGGATCAGTAATAAAGAAAAAATAAATTAAGTTATATGTATCATAACAGGGAATGGAAGAGTATTACTATGCCGTTATACTTTTACCGTTACTTTTTATGATAACAATTTGATAATGATGTTGCAATTTTCATGACTATAACGATAACTAACGAAACGCTAACGTTGCACCAAGGTTAGGAAAGTCACTTTGAAAAGTAATTTGTTACCATTATGCATTATTTACTGAAAAAAGCAATAAGTAATTTGTAATGCTTCGATGAGTTACTTTTTCCGTTATAAGTAACAAATAAAAGTAACTAGTTATAAATAAAAAGTTACTTTTTTTCAATAATGAGCGATTTCCAACCCGTTACAAATAACATTTGGCTTTTTTAATTCTGGTGTTATCATTGTCAAATTGTTATTATAATAAAGTAACGATAAAAAGTAATAACGTTACAAGTAATGTGTACTTCCATTGATCGCGTTGATTTAAAAGAATACACCAAGCGACCAACATTGGTTAAGGAGATCCTAAAGTGCTCGAACTCTGACAGAGTCACTAGAGGTCGCTGTTTTTCCAGCGCAGCGATGTGTCTTTGACTGCATTCGGTTTACACGCTCACACGCTGTAAACGCTCATGCTTATAAGCGCTGTTTTTTGGTGTTCAATTTGGTTTGTCAGTACTCACATTAAATAAGTGAAATCATTCATTTTGATTATTGTAAGCATTAAGCTTAGACACGTAATTGATAATTGACCATAAATAATTCGCTTCCTATACTCTGAAAATAAAAATTTACGAAATTTGAATAAATATTTGTTTAAAATAGTTTCAATAAGACATTTGCTAATTGAATAAAAATGTATTCAATAAAAAGTACTTTGATTTAAGAATTATTTCTTAAAATAAATATTTATTTACTGTAAGCAAATGTCTCATTGGTACTATTTAAACAAATATTACAATTTTGTAACTTTTTTTTCAATGTAACCTTTTTTTTTGTCTTATAACCTTTTGTTTCCTTCCACCGAAGGTGCATTCAAGTCATGGTACTTTATCGAAAGTTAAAGATATATTTCCAGTCTGTGCATTTTCTAAATCAACTAGAACTTTATCTGTTGATGTCATCTTTGTATGAATAAATTCTTTTTCCTAATGATGAAAAAAAATTGATGAAAATTTAAGCATTCAATTCCTTGTTGGTGAACAAAGTCCTTTTTTTATTAGCGCACACAAAATCGGAAAACGTTTGTAGACGTCATATACAAGTATATTACGAGAGCGTTAAAATATTCACGCAATCCGACATTCGTTAAACATTTCTCTAATCATGAAAAAACGTGCATATATCTAACCTACTAGGGTTAAGATCGAACATTGCTCACGTTTATTTTGGCCAATAAGCGCTTATTTGCGTTCACGCTTTTGCTGCCTTATCTCAATGAATAAGCATTTATGAGCACGAATATGACGTTACGGATGACGTCATGAACGCATCTCTGAGCGCTTACACTGCCAAACTAACAACATGAACAATGCTTATAAGCGCTTAAAGCGTGTAAGCGTGCAAATTGAACGCAGCCTTTATATACTACTACATCAATATCTCACGCAACCTGATAGTGATACACGCAGTCGTACGTTCGTGTCAATTTTCGTATAACAAATTCGTCGCGATATAACTAAGCGTCTAAGGCCTGGTTGCACCAACGTTACTTTAACTTTAAGCAAGACTTAAAACTCTCTCTGTCTCGTTTTAAAACGAAAGAGAGACAGAGAAAGTTTTAAGCCTTGCTTAAAGTCAAAGTACGTTGGTGCAATCGGGCCTAAGTTTAATTATAAGAACTCGACGTTATTTGTTCGTGCAAACTACGTGTTTGTGAATTACTATTTCGTAAGTACAGATTGCAAAACTTTCGTATCAAGTAAATGTTGTCACAACTTGACAGCTTGAGACGCCATGTTACGCTAAGAAATGGTAAAAAATATATCAATTTCGAAATTTTTGGCCGTTCTCTGCATAAACTCCACCTCACAAACACGGATTAATGAGTATACTTTAATCCTAGAAAAGGATTTTCAAATCTGTGAAAAAGAAAAAAAGCATTTGTTATACAAAAATTGTATGATTTAATACAGTAATACAGACGGTAATACAGACGGCTTTAGGATCCCCTTAAAGACATAGTCATAGAACATAGACTGCGCAATTCTTGTGTACAATTGATCGACAAAACGGAGAGATAAGATATGGCCAGCCTCTGTCTCTTTTTATTCAACGGTGTAATGTTGTTATAAAGAAAGGGAGATTGACCGTTTTCATGTTCCTTCTCTAATTTTTGTTGATCACATTAGATCAAATCTGTCTAATTTGAACTCCGGAGCCAAAACACAAAGCCATCGACGCAAAAAAATTCAATATAAGATTTCAGGCAAAGTGTTGATAAGCGTGATCGCTCAGACGCATATCGACGCTTTACAATCCCTGGAATTTTACCCATATTGATTTTTTTGTGTCAATAGCTTTGCGTTTTGGCTCCGGAGCTGAAATTGGACATGCCTGCATTAGATATACTATTTAGATACGAATGGCGTGGTCTATGTTCCATGTCTTTGACGAGAGGATTTCGATTGTGCACATCACTAATTGGCTAATTCAATATATTCACTAATGGCCATCCATGTGAGTGGTGTGTGCAATTGGAAATGTAAGTTAACATGACCCTCCCGTCTTTGACATTGGTCAATACGGTCGATACGATACGGCAGCACTATCAATAGTATTTGAGTGTTTAAGGGCTAGTACACAAAATCTTAGCATAGCTAGCATAAAATCGTCTGGATCAATAATAAGTCTCGAAATCTCGAGAGATCACTCGAACGAGACGAACGTGTTTTATCTCGGTTCGAATGTTGCATCACCTCGGTTATTTTTTGGAAAGTTTTGCTGACTTCGACTGAGCAATTGTATTTCTTGTTTCCGTAAATCCTTCATTCATCTAGACGCGCGTCCCTGCGATGCGAAGAACGATAAATTATGCGTAGTCGCCCAGTGTTTGGAGAGTAGCATTGCCATTTCTAACTATATTGCATCATCCATTTTGAGGGTTTGTCCGGTTTGCTCGAGATGGCCGGTGCATCGTATATCTATTATTATAAGTTATTTTATTTGTCGACATTTGAATATTAGTGACTCAATCTCAGCCGGTTTATCGGCTATGGGGCCATTCAAGAAGGAAAAAAAAGAAGTCCGAATTAATAAATGCTCAGC